CGATCCATCTGTTGTAGCTTGGAGAAGTCCATCTCCAGGGACTCCCGATGATCCTCAAAAATGAAGTCACCAAATTCTTCGAGGAAATTGGTGATTTCATCACACACGTGGTTGTTATTCATTCTGCTGCTGTTTCTTGTTGTTTCTTGATGTTGTTGGCGCTGTTTCTTGTTGTTTCTTGATGTTGTTGGCGCTGTTTCTTGTTGTTTCTTGATGTTGTTGGCGCTGTTTGTCTGTTGATGATGTTGTTGTTTGTTGATTTTTGGTTGTTGTATAGTTGTTTTTGTTGGTTTGGTTTGTTGATTTTTGGTTGTAGTTTTGTTGTTATTCCAAACTTATGTTGCTGCTGCTGATATTATTAATCCAGACTTGTAATTCGAACTGAAGGTTCTTCCCAGTAACTTCTTACTTTTATCCCCTCTTCATATGGGGAGCAAAAATTTTCCACCACCATCCCTTCCCTCGCGATCATCCCTTTGAGAAAATTAGTTAGACAAATGCAAATGTGACTAGAAACCGAGTAGTCAACAACCTGGTTGCTAGGACACGGTTCACTTTCACCCCTCCCTCGCCATCAAATATTCGATGGAATCAACCAATGAAAATAATGCAAGTCTAATTTCTTATATTAAATTTAAGGAAAATATTTTCATCAACCAATCAATTCGTTGCAACTCTAATTTCCTATATTAAATTTAAGGAAAATATTTTCATTTACCAATCAAAACTTTGAATTTTTTAATTTTCAAACTAAAGTTTAAGTTCATACTAATAATCTATCCTCAAAGTTATATTTAAGCTAGAATTTTACCAAATTCAGATCAGTGTTTTCAAATTTCTTGAAGTGACCTACTCTTTTTACTAGTTTCGAAAAACAGTAAAGTGATCTTATCAACGTGTGTACCTCAATTGAAAAGTGGCTTTGTGAGAACAATTAAATTAAAATTACAAATTAACTACATTACAAGTGACTTTGTGAAAAGAAAATAAAAATTTAAAACAATCTACAAATTAACTACATTACAAGTGACTTTGTGAAAAGAAAATAAAAATTTCAAACAATCTACAAATTAATTACAATTGTAATTCTTTCCAAAATAAAAATTAAAATGAATAACCAAACCCAAAAATATTGTGAGTCATGCCGTCGTTTCATCCCGGTGGGAGTTCAATGGAATCACCATGCACGAACCGCGAACCACAAGATGAACGCTATGGTACCTTTGGATGGAAGAATCAAAATGATTTCGGATGGATTCAAGGGTCGAATCCTTCATTATATGTTTGTTAATGAAGGAGAGGAATTAAGATACCCGGAAGAGTTCCTTTTCGAAGCAGGAGAGGCTTTAAAATCGCATTTATTTAATGTGCTTCAAAGCTACATGTCCGGTAAAGTTAATTTTGAGCTTTTTGCGGAATATATGCTCGTGAAAGATGACGATTTAAAAACGGAGACTAAACAATTCCAAAGCAAAATGGAAGTTGTTACAAACCACTCGGATTTAGACCGCATATTCACCAATCACTCAGACCATCTGAAAATAAAAATGGAAGAGTTTCAGGAAAGGGATAGCGGGTGGACCCTACTCCGCATAATTCGATTGGAATTGAATTTCAATCAATTTAAACCGCTTTCTGGTTCTTCATTTATCCCAACACCACCCAAGCTTTTTTCGAAAAAAGCAATAATTAATGTCCAAAATAAGAATGACTCATACTGTTTTAAATGGACTTTGATTTCGGCACTTACAAAGGTAGCAAGTAACCCTAGTATGTGCTACACATATAAAGTTGATATAAGGGCCGAAAGATTTGTTTTAACATCTGGAATAAATTTGGACTTCAGTGGGTTAACATTCCCGCTTAAAATAAAGGACATAGACATCTTCATTCAAAAAAACGTTACATTGAGTATTAACGTTTTTGGATATGATGAGGAAAGTGAAACTATAATTGGACCTCTTTATCAATCTGGAGTTGAAAAGCCGACGCACATAAATATACTTTTCCTGGAAGGAAACGGGTTCGGTCACTACACATGGATAAAAAATATTTCAAAGTATGAATTTTATCCGTTATAGACCTACTTATACTTATTATGTTACATTACTTGTTTTATTTTTCTTTTGTTTAACAGACTAATGACTTCACAAAGAGGATCACATAATGGACGGGAATGGTTTTGCAATACCTGCTTAAATTTTTCATCAACTGCAAGTCACGCACTTCGCCACAAGGAGCTTTGCAGTGGAAAGGTTGTCACTCTCCCAAAACCATATAAATCGACATTGAAGTATACGGCACTGCGTCATCAACTAAAAGTTCCGTTCGCAGTGTATGCAGATTTCGAGTGTATACTTCGACGTAAAAATATTGATGTAAGTCCTAAACTGTTTAATGTAAATGAACATGTACCAATTTCATATGCTTACTTTATAAAGTGTGCATATGATTCTAGCTTAGATAAATTTGTAATGGAAACGGGAGGTAATTCAGCCATAAATTTTGTCAATTCCCTTGTAAATAACTTAAAAACTATTCATACAAATTATTTGAGTAAAATTGTTCCCATAGTAATGAATCCAGAGGACGAATATGATTTTGAGTTTACCCTCAATTGTCATATTTGTGAGAAGGCTTTAGCGGATGATAGGGTTCGAGATCATTGTCATTATACAGGTAGATACAGGGGTGCAGCTCATTCGAAATGTAATTTAGAATTGAAAACGTCTAATTTTATCCCAGTTTTCTTCCACAATTTCTCCAAGTATGATTGTCACTTGTTTATCAAAGAATTAACATTAATACCTGGAGAAATTAAAGTTATTCCCATAAACAAGGAGCACTTCATTTCAGTAATGAAAAAAATTGAAAATGAATGTAGAAACAGTTTTGAGATAAGGTTTCTAGACACATTTAGATTTATGTCATCTAGTCTAGATGCCTTAGCGTCCAATTTAGAAGATGATCAACTTAAATCAGTAAGATCACATTTTAATTGTGAAAATGAATTTAGGCTTATGCGGAAGAAGGGTGTATTCCCATATGAATATCTTGATTCAGAGCATAGACTAGAGGAAACTAGTTTACCATCAAGAGACCAATTTTATAATCAGTTTACTGAAAAGCATTGTTCTCAAGAGGAATATAGTCATGCTGTTAAAGTTTGGACACAATTTTCCTGTAAATCTCTAAAGGACTATCTAGAGATTTATTTAAAAACTGATGTATTATTATTAACTGACGTTTTTGAAAATTTCCGTTTAATTTGCATGAAAATTTATTCTCTTGACCCAGCTCATTTTTATACAACACCAGGTTTATCTTGGCAGGCAATGCTGAAAACCACTCAAATTGAGTTACAGTTAATAATTGATATTGATATGTATAAATTTATACAAAGTGGAATTCGGGGTGGTTTGGTACAATGCTGTCACAGATATAGTAAAGCAAATAATAAATATTTAAGTGATTATGATGCTAGTAAAGAGTCATCATTTTTAATGTATTTAGATGCAAATAATTTGTATGGTTGGGCAATGTCTCAACCTTTACCTTACCAAGGGTTTAAGTGGTTGTCTCCCATAGACATAGAAAATTTGGTAGTAGAAAATATTCCAAGCGATGGACATTATGGTTATATTTTAGAAGTGGATTTGGACTATCCATACAGTATCCATGATTTACATAGTGATTTACCGTTTTGTTCATCAACAAAGTTAGCCACTAATAGCAAAAAAGTAAAAAAATTAATTGCCGACCTCGGAAATAATAAAAATTATATCATTCATTATAAAAATTTACAGCAATGTTTGCTTAATGGGTTGCAGCTATTAAAAATTCATAGAGGGATACGTTTTGAGCAAAAACCTTGGCTCAAAACGTATATAGACCTTAACACCCAATATCGTCAAAAAGCTAAAAATTCATTTGAAAAAGATTTTTTTAAATTATTAAATAATGCAGTCTACGGTAAAACCCTAGAAAATATCGAGAATCGCGTTGACATTAAAATAGTTTGTGATTGGGATCCTCCACAGAATAATAATAATAAAAGTGGTCGTAAAAAATTATGTGCACGAGCATTAATTTCCAAATTTAATTTTCAAAGTGCTACAAAACTAGAGAATGATTTTTATACAATTCAAATGAGAAGAATGTCATATGTATACGATAAACCCATGTATCTTGGGTTTACAGTATTAGAGTTATCAAAGTGGAACATGTATAATTTCCATTATCAGTATATGAAACCGAAATTTCAAGATAATATAAGATTAAATTACATGGATACAGATTCCTTCATCTATACAATTAAAACTGATGATTTTTATAGAGATATTCGGAATGATATAGAATTCAAATTTGATACATCTGGTTATTCCGAAGAAAGAGCCAACTTATATAATTTTAAAATATGCAATAAAGCGGTATTAGGTGTTTTTAAAGATGAGCTTCATGGTAGACCAATGTCAGAGTTTGTTGGTCTCCGTCCTAAGGTTTATTGTTATAAAATTGATTCTATGGACAAATCGTTTATGAAATCTAAGGGAGTAACGAGAACAGCACTAGAGTATCTAGATATTGAAAAATATAAAAAGGTTCTTTTCACTGAAAATCGAATGTATGGCGGCATGTCAGTTTTTAGATCTAAAAATCATACCATAAATACTTACAAAATGACAAAAATAATTCTCGATGGTAATGATACAAAGAGAAAAGTTGAGGGTGATAAAATGTCTACACTCCCTTATCATCATAAGGGTTTAATAGAAAGGGAACTCATATCAAATGTTCAAATCCTTGAGGGAGAGTCACTTGTTTTGGGGAGACAGGTAGATGAAATAGAAAGTCTTGAATTCCAGACTGAGGAACAAAAAACTTTACTCAAGCGTCTAAAAACAGAAATTGAAAATGTTGAACATGATTTACTTTACAAGTCGCTTGAACTTGAAATGTTTTATAATGAATTGCCCCCCGATCCCAAAAAACAGAAACAATTTTAGATTTAACAATGCAAAATATTTATTTAATTAGTAAGTTTGATAAAAGGTGTTGAACAATAAAAATTAACAAAATATATATAAATCTTAAAAGGTGTTGAACAATAAAAATTAACAAAATATATATAAATCTTAAGCAATATATATATATAAATGTTTATATTTTGTTAGTATAACATTAAGTTGAACGAATAACAAATACATTTCAATAAATTGAGTATTAAATATAAAATATTTGGGTGTGTTTTTAAATTTTTTTTTTTTTTTTGGAAATTTTTTATAAATTGGGTGAGTATATTTTATTTGATTGGTTTTGTACCCGTTGCCTATATAGATAATTCCACAGTTCTAATTCATGTGGGTTCATTTTAGCTTCAGGTTCAGAATCCCTGTCTTGAACAGGTTCATCTTCTTCTTCAGCTGATTTTTCTTCCTCGTTTTTTTCCCTTATCTGTTTTAGATAATAACCCAACTCTACTTGTTCAGGAGTAATATCATTATTTTCATTACTCTCATCGCTATTGCTTAAGTTAATGTTTATATTTTGGTGATAAAGTTGTGTGATGTCATCATCAGTTAAATTAAAACTAGAAATATTATTAGAAATTGAATTTACTGAAACTACGTTAGATCCTAAAAGGTGAACATATTCAACTGAAATGAGAAAAAGAAAAAAAAAAAACGAATTAATGAAATGAAATAATATATACTAAAGTAAATTAACTTGCCTTTTGTTTTGTTTAATATATTATTTCCTTGAGGAATTTTTATATCCTTCTGAAATAAATAAGTAATATGTTATCCCTAATTCATATAAAAGTTGTTGCGGTTCAACAACTCGCTACACTCTAATAGACATAATTTTCCCCCATCAGAGTCTATACCACTCAAGTCTAGTTCCTCAATTGTTATAACCTCTCTTTTACTTATCTTGGGTGGAGGTGGTAAATCTATTGTTTTTGGTAGAAGTGGATAGTAAAAAAGTTCTTCATCAATTTCTACACAGTTTATTTGAATCTTATACATATCTAGATGAGAATGTTTTTTTAACCTTTTTGAAACGTAATGGCATTGGATTCTTAAAGTGAAAAGGTCCTTATAACCGAGTTTATAATATCTATCGAAACCTCTGTTTCCTGTTACAATAGTTCCGCCCTCTCTATTTTCCCTTTCAAGCAAGTCTGATTTAAACTTCTCTAACAATTCCTTTTTAAGAAAAGAATATTTTTTTTCTACACTACGCTTCTCTGTTTTATTTAAAATTTTTGACTCTTCACTTACATTATCATTATTACCATCTTCTTCATTTAGTGGCGTAAATGATTGTTTGGAGGGTGACGACAAATCATCGTACTCATCATAGATTTGGAAATTAGCTGGTGGGGGTGTTGATGATGATGATTCTGTTGCTTCTGTTGATGATGATGCTTCTGTTGAGGATGATGATGCTTCTGTTGATGATGATGATGCTTCTGTTGTTGTTGTTTCTGTTGTTGTTGTTGTTTCTGTTGTTGTTGTTTCTGTTGTTGTTGTTTCTGTTGTTGTTGTTTCTGTTGTTGTTGTTGTTGTTTCTGAAATTAAATATCATAACAAAAGTTAACAAAAATCGAAAAAGGAAAAAAAGTAATTTGTGATTGGTATTTATATTGATATTTACCTTGTGGTGCTTCGTCGTCTTCATCTTTTTTTAGTTTCCTCTCTTCTGTTATATAGCTTGCCATTGTTGTTGCTTCTGAAATTAAATAACATATAGAAAAGTAATAAAACAAAAAAAAAAAAAAATTTTTATTGTTATTATTGTTTTGATGTTCTTACCTTGGGAGGTTTTTAGTTTACTCTCTAACTCATCAATGTTATTTATATTCGCTAGTGAACTGTTCTTAAATAGATACAATTTCAGCTGAATATTCAAAACATCATTGTTAGGGAGTAAAATTTGAATAATTGTGGTTTCCATTGTCTCGTTGTATGTCGTTAGATGTGAAGTGGGTATTACACCCATTTCCACTACTCCTATTACAGAAACTATTATTAAAAATAGTTTCATTATTTTATTATTATTCATTTTCACACACACACACACACACACAATTATTAATAAAGTTTGAGTTTTTAGCTTTCACTTTCACTTTTATATGAGCAATTTGAGCTCCAATTTTCACCGTCTTGTCTTGCTTGCGATCGCTACTGAAAAAATCATAAGCGCCCCAGTGGTATTTATTTAGAATTTTCAGTATATAACTCTTATGTAAACGAATAAAGGGATGGGGCAATCATTCCTAAATATGCTGGCGAACCAGTCCAACAAACAGAAACAATATATACAAACCTTGAGTAAACATTCTTATAGCCCTCCACACGCCCTCCACAGAAAGCAGAACATTCTTATCGCCCTCCACAGAAAGCAGAACATTCTATCAGTCTTTGCGTGTGCGTATGTGGAAACTATTTTTGATTTTGTATACGTAGGGTGCGGCCTTTCGATGCGGGCGATTGTGTCTGGAAACTATTTTTGATGATGTGTACGTACATGAGCATGCGAGTCTGAACATAATTATAGAAACCACTTGTAATGGAAGATCTTCGAAGTCTTTGCGTGTGCGTATGTGGAAACTATTTTGACTTTGTATACGTAGGGTGGTGGGGGATTTTGGCTGGAGACTATTTTTGAACTTGTACATAAGCTGTTACATGAGCATGCCGGTCTGAACATATTTATTTTTCTGTTGCTGAGTTGATTAGTATATGGAGTATATATTCTTTTATTTTCAATCCGAATAAGAGTTGCTCTATAAAATATTATCTTCAGATTCCCAGCTATCATATTTTTTTGAAAACCCCAACCAACGTACACGGACTTTATTCCCGTCTCTCTTTATTATTTTTTCCACTTAATATTTGTCTGGGAAACGAGTTTTTTTTTAGTTCTTCTTTGTAAAATCCACCTTGTATTGGAGTACCTTCAAAGTCTTCCAACAAGTATGTGGTAGGGTATGTGTTTTTCACACTTGTTATTTTAAAAATTTCTGTAGTCCAATTCGGTGTATACCCCTTTTCAAACACATGTTTATACTTACTGATGCGTACATAATCTCCATTTCGCAATTTCCCCACACTAAACATTTTGAGATGATTGTAGGCTGTTTTCTAAATGTGTTTTTCATTGGAAGAATTGACGTCAATTGGGGCGACCTTAATTGTTCTATGTGGTCTTTTGTTGTATATATCAATTAATTTTTTATACATATCAACCCACTTGTATGTTCCGCTAAAACTAAATTCACGCCACATAAGTTCCTTCAAACTTCTGTTGAAGCGTTCCACAATTGAAGCTTTTACAATTGAATAGGTAGAATAATGGTTTATTCCATATTGTTTCATTAACGCGTTAAATTGTTTGTTAAAAAATTCAGTTCCATCATCCGTTTGTAAATTTTTTTGGTGTTCCACGTCCAGATTTGAAAATTTTTTCCATTGCCATTGAGACATCTTTAGCGCTTTTTGATTTTAATGCTTCTCCCCAGGCATATTTGCTAAAACAATCCACAACAGTCAAAATATAAAAATATCCTCCGTTAAGCTTTGAATACTTTCCCATTTCCACTAAATCTGCTTGCCAGAGATCATTTATACCCTTTGTCACTACCCTTCGACGTTTAAAATTACGTCGACACGGAGCATGAATTTCTTTAACAATACCCAATTTATCACTCATATTTTTTGGTACTAGAACTTTCTTATTATTGGAGTTGCAGTACCTTCTATTTCAACTGTCTGTGATTTTAAAACTGATTTCGGTTGAGTAACATATTTATAAACATAGCTCTCAATACTATTAATCTTTGTTAACATATTGGATAGGATTTTATCAACATTATCAACCCTCCCATTATTAACTTGAACTAAATTTTCCAAAGAAGTTATTTTAGAAAGTCTTCGTTTAAGGGATCTGTTATTGGGTTAAAAGTTTCTTCCAACTCGTAAGCATTTTGTGATTTAAAATGTTTTAGATCATTAAACTTTTTCTTTAATATATTTCTCGTTTTAGTAAGCTGACTTAAAATAAATTGACTCATTTTGGGTACTTTCAAAACTTTCACCACCGTCAGCACAAAAGATGTAATACCAGTTTATGAACTATACTTTACAGGGTTACATTCCATACTAATGAAAGTTATAAAATATATATATTATTTATATGATTTTATTTTTGGCTGAAAAAGAATCATTTTACATTGTTTAAATTTCCTCTTCAAATAAAAGAATTTAATGTGGGTGTGTGTGCATGTTTTATTGAATATAATAAATGATTATGTACAAATGTTATAAATATTACAAAGTGATAAGTGGATTAAACAATTGTATTTAACTCTAGTTGCAGGGAATCATTGCTTCTTTTTATAACTCGATATTCCTTGTCCTTGAGCAACTTCAGATGACCATCTTTTATAGTGTTATATCTCTTTGGTAGATATAGAATATATTTATCCAGTTCCAAGGCAATGGAGTCCCCATAAACAGTTTTCTTCCTCTGCGCATTGATAATTGGGTAGCTGACGTTTATACCCATCTTGTTTTGTGATAGCAAGGGCTTCAATGCTCGCGTGTTGAACTCCTTTAAAACACCGCCTCGAAGAATTTCCTCCTCCATAATGGTGTCCAGCTCACTTTCTGATGGAATTGGTTGATTCATGATGTTGTTGTTGGTATGAAGTTTGTCCTTGAAGAAGGTGGTTTAAGTGAGAAGCAAGCTGATCGACTTGACAAGTTAATGTTAAAGTTCTGACTGTAAAGACTAAACGATTTCCGAGCTCATTTTATACCAGTTCTCAGACCGAGATTTCCATAGCAACAGGTTGTTGTTTTTCCACCCTTGTTGTTTTCCACCCTTGATGTTTAAAAGTCGTTAAATCAGTTACTTTATGCAACAGGCTGTTGTTTTTCCACCCTTGTTGTTTTCCACCCTTGTTGTTTAAAAGTCGTTAAATCAGTTACTTTATTTGAATGAAAGCAGGAATTCAATGCACAGGTGTCCACAATTGTATGTTCCAAAACGTTGTACCTGTTCATAGTTATATTTGATTTTATCCCCTAAGTATTTCACAACTTCTTTTGGTGGTTGTAAATTTCCAAAACTATCAAAATAGAATATGCTGTTTTTGTTTTTGTGGTAAGCTACCCAATGTGTACCCCTTGATTTTGAGTCACCCAAGTTAATCACTCCACTCTCATTATTTTTAGGTGTTTTAGGGAGAGAGTCTCTCATAAACACTCCCCTAAAATGCGGTATATTTCTTTGAGCAAATTCCATTATATCTATATTTGATAATGCTCTTTTGGGTAGCTGACCAATTAGTTTTTTTGTTTCTTCATTCTCCCACCACGACTGTTGTATGGTTTTAGGTATAAACCGTAACCATTTTTATGGGGTTTTAAGTATAGACCTTCACCCACGGAAACTTCTTCCATCTTTCGGTTGTGTCTTTTATTTTCTTCTAGCTGTTGCTTAGCAATTTTTGCGTTTGTTATTAATTTTGCTACACTAGAAGTTCCTGAAGCTAAACTACCTATAGCACTTAATGCAGTTAAGATGGGTACCAGTGGTAAAAAACCCCCCATTTTGGGAACATTTATTATTCGAGGAACTTTAACGTTTTTCTTAGATCCGATTGAATTATGTATTGCTTTACGTGCAATTTTAATTGCATTCACCACATCCAGGGGTTTTCGTTTTTTCAATTCCCGACTCGCTTCTCTTACAACAGATGATAGTCTATTTATTTTCATCCTCCTACGCTTCCTCTTCTTCTGTTTTTTCTTATTTCGCTTCCGAACACCCATTCCAAAATGTTTCTTTGCTTTCATAATATTAGTTACAAAATATGCTGCTGCTCGCTCCTTAAGAGAACTATCCTTCGCCTTTACTCGCTCCCAAGCCTTGTTAATTAATTCAGAATCTGCCTTATGTCGATTGCTTAGATCGTTGTTTTGTGAATAGGCAATATCGTGAACCTTGCAAGCTTCATCCAACTGATTAATTCCGTGATCTCCACGCTGTAATCGCTCTGCAAGCTTTGTACCGGGTCCACAATAGTTATATCCAGGAATGTGAAACTCAATCGGAAGAGAATCTATTAACTTATTAATAAGACCACTTCCACGTTTACGGTGTAAATAATGACTGATGTGATTATAAAAACGTTTCCCCATTATATATTGTCTTTATTCATTGAAGATTTATCACGGAATAAACATATTTATAATAGGATGCGATTAATAAAGCAAAAAAATAACATTATTGTTCGTAACATTGAGAACGTGAATAATGTTAAACAACCACCACGTCACAGTGAATTATTACCAAACACAATTAGAGCTCTTGTGGTTGGTCCATCCAACTGCGGGAAAACTAATGTAATGATAAGTCTTATTGAGAGTCCAAATGGCTTGAGATTTGAAAATATATACGTGTTTTCAAAGAGTCTATACCAACCGAAATATGATTACTTGGAAAAGCTATTTAAACCGATTAAAGGTATGGGATATCATACATTCTCTCAGAACGAAACTGTTTTACCACCCACCGAAGCAAAAAATAATTCAATCATGATTTTCGACGATGTGGCTTGTGAGAAACAAGATAATATTCGATCATATTTCTGTATGGGTCGTCACAAAAATATTGATTCTTTTTATTTATGTCAAACATATACACGGATAC